CTATCACATAAAAATATTTTATTTCAAACTTCTACTCTTTACATTTTTGTTTCTACACTTTATAATTTAATATGCAGTTTGTTATTTTTTTAAAATATTGCAAATTACACCATATCATCTTAAAAATAAAAAATAAAAAAAATATAACCTATGTCTATGTATATGTCTATATAGCATGTACATGTACGCTTTTCTACAGTTTCACTTGGCATCGCAGAGAACCTTTGGTACTCGTCAAAGCGGGTAATGAGATGAAACCACCTTAACCTTTTGTTATTCTTACTTTGGTGTTTTATGGGCTTTCATTTTTCGTGTAGTGCTTGCTTGTGTTAGAGAAGCTATGTAACGTGTGTGCATAAATTGCACGCTAGGTGTTTGATAAAATTGATGGTTCAGATTCATCCCTGTTCTGAATGTGATTTGTCATGCATGTAGCTAGTTGTGGTTTCTACAATAAATCAATTACAAAAGCCCGAAGGGGAAGTCCCAATTTTGCAAATTGCTGTTTGCTTAAATCCTCGACCTTGCAGGTTTATCTTCATTCTTGTTTGTGTATTATTAGGTTAGGTCCTTAGAGCAGGAAGCAATTGTTTTTTTTAGCTAGTCTAGCCTCATACTCTCAGTTCGCTGAATTCTTTCTGATTATTCATTGAACCAATGAACTGTGACTGAGTATGTTGGAGTCTGCGTGGTGGGTTTGTTGATTTTTTCTGTTTCTGTTCCTGTGAATTAGTGTTAGCTTTGACAAACTGATATGTCTTTCCTAAACGGCCATGTATCCCGTGCATACATATGCATCTGATTTTATTGGACTTTTTCCTGACTTAACTTTTCATGTGCTTTTGTATTATATTTTGTTATCCCCAAATATGAATTACATTCAGTCAAATGCATATACAGGACTGTGCGTGTGTGTGTAGTTTCTGCTAAGTATATGTGAATTAATGTCTTCGGTTGCAGCAGACAGTTTTCTTTCAAATTTGATGTCTTCACTTTCAAGACAGTTTTCTTGCATATTTTGACATACATCGAGAATGTGATTAGTCTAACAAAATTGTGGCTTCAGAGTTACAATAGGCAAACATTTATTTGTTATTTCATCATGATTATTGGGTATTGGTTATTTTAGTTAAAGGTTTCTAGTCTCGTTATCTCTTTTAGTGTTGCCTTGAAAATAAAAACTACTTGAGAGATGTCTTTATTATGAATTTTGGATTCTGGCACTTGTTCTGTGGTTGGAGTTGTCGTAGTGGTAGTCGTAATCGTAGTTGTAGATGTCTTAAAATAATGATCATTGGATTATATCAATTTTCCAATAGTGCTGATTTTCTTTTAATCATGTTCAAAGATTTAGATGTAACAGGGTTTTAAAATCCTCTATCATGACTCACTCAACATTTTAATTTATAATATGATCTACAGGCAAGTGTTATTCATTTTAAAGTTAAAGTACTTCAATTTTCGATGAACCATTTCAGTAATATATAATTACTTACAATTGTACTTTCCATTTTTCGCTTATAAGGAATGAGTCGTTTGCAAGGATGTTCTTCCCTTAAAAGGAAACGACAAGACTTGGCTTTAGTTTCTGGGTCTTTGACTGACGGAGAACGCATACTCTATAATCTCATTCATAGCAAGAAAGACATGGGGATCTGGACAGGAGACATGAAACGAGAAACAAACCTCCCTGATAACGTGGTCAAAAAATCCCTTAAGTTGCTTCAGTCAAAGAATCTGATAAAGGAGGTTGTTAATATTCAAAACAAAGGGAGAAAGCACTACATGGCGGCAGAGTTTGAACCCTCCAAGGAAATCACCGGTGGGGATTGGTATACTGAAGGGAGTCTTGATACAGAGTTCATAAACCTTGTAAAGGACGTGTGCATGAGATACATTTTCAGGCAAAAAGGTTACCACACGTGAAGGAGTTTTAGAGTGGAGCAGAAAGAGTGGGGTCTTCGCCGTTGAAGTCACCACACAGCAAATATAAGAGATTTTACGAACTTTGGTTTTGGATGATGAAATCATTGAGGTGACAAGCACTGGATTTGGAGATTTTTCATATGTTCCTGTTGGCAGAATTTGTTATAGATGCAAAAGCAAGGGTGGCGTTAGAGGGGAACAGAAACCTGGTGCCATGGCTTCCATTCCATGCGGAGTTTGTCCACGAATAAACTTTTGTACACCAGATGACATTGTCTCCCCGAGAACTTGTGTCTATTATCAGAAATGGTTGGACTTCTGAATGAGTCAAATACCAATTAATAGTTTTGATATGAACCTCCCAAGTTTTCACTCTCATCTAGCAGCTTGTGTTTATATTTTTGAGTAACTCTGTTGCTCAATGTACCATAGGTCCCTCTGCATTAAAACTAAAACTTTCTAAGTGGGTTGACTGAAGATGCACAGGTTAGTTGGCGATCATCCATATTACAGTAACCTATCGTTACTAACATTTTATGAATCTACAAAAAAGAAGGTGGAACAAGAAAAGGAAATGAAAGCTATTTGCTGTGCTTATGCGCATTCAACCTGTTCGTCGAGTAGATTAAAGATGTATGTTTAAATGATCTCAGATGATTTTTTTTGCTCTGTGAGAATCTACTTTAGTTTATAATATTTTGTTGAACTTATTCTGGTTGCCATGAGAGCGATGTTGTAACTGCATATTCCTTGTAGCAGCTTGGTCAATCATCAGAGGTATATATGGGTTATGCATATTTGTTGTAGCCTGAATATTCTCACTTGATTTAATAGCAGTGATTCACTCTCTACAAGTCTTGGCAGATATAATTTTTGTGAACGAAAACAATTTAATGACAAGCAAGCAAGGATAGGCATAATGCCACTGTTGTAGCAAGGGGTCAGTGAAAGTAGTAAAGATGCTTGGTCATAAAGGCTCTTACAAAAGCATTCAGGACCAAACTTTAAAAATTGAAGTTGTCAGTGACATGCCCATCTTCTAGTTATGTTTTAATTTCCCAAGTAAAGGGTGCGTTTCTTTGATCTTTTAGAATTTGGATCCTTTTTTTTTTTATGAGGATTCATTTTTTCCTTTGGATTATCTGATCCAGACAATTTTTTAATATGGTCCAAGACCACCGTGATCGTTCCATTCAAAAATTGACACTTGGATTATTTTTTTTTTCTTTCTCTTCAACCTTTTATCTCTTTCTCTTACCTCAGTCCCACCCAATTTTCTTGCTCTCGGGGCACAATAACTTCGCTCATGATCCAGGGTGACTATTTCAAGATATATTTTTTTATTCCTTGAATTCGAGATTTTTTGATATAATCCATTGGTTCTTCGATTACGTAATTAGTTCGATATAAGCGGGATAAAACAACATGGCGGCAAAGTTTTTCCTATAAAGTTTTAGGATTTGATTTTTTTCATGTTGCATGAGACAAATTATCTCATGCATTGGACCATTGTTAGGAGAGGCTTCTGGGTTTAACCGCTCTTATAATACCATTCTTGTAAATTTAAATTTTGTTTATGAGAAATAAAATATATCAAATGAGATGTCATTGCGTAGACCTCGAAAAGTTATGTGGAATCAAAAAAAGAATTACCTGATTTGGATACACGAGTCAAAAGTTATGGCTTTTAAAATTTTTTATTATTATTTTTGGAAAAAAAATATGACACGTGTCAACAACTGATAAGTGACGCCCGAATTTAGGCATGATTGCCTCTTGAGTGATGCCCAATTTAGGCGTCATTGGTGACGCCCAAAATAAGTGTCTTATTGTGCAATAAATATGTAATTATTTTTAAAATTGTAATAAATGTATAATTAATTTATTAAAAAGCATTACATAAATTTTTTGGCCAGGAACTTTGTGTATACTTAGTGACATTCACGATGACGTCGAAGTGCTTGTTGCAAAAAAATTGGTCTTATATAATATAGTCACTTGGACATCTACGCACACTAATGAGGAGCAAAGTATGCTACACCAAGTTGCACTCCCCAAATATACTAAGAAGTTTAGGAAAGGTAAAAACCAATAAGTCATGTGTCTGGCTCTGAAATGCACACCAGTCTCTACCTAACAATAAAAAAACCCCGTAGGAAAACAAAAATGTGCGGAGAGAAGGAGCAGGTGAATGAAAGTGTATTTTCCAAAAGAAATATATATATAAAGAATGCTTACAAGCTTTTCATCTTCGAGATTTGTTCAATCAATACAACATTGTACGCGTTGATACTCTTTCTAGCTGATTCCATATTGGAGTTTGTGTTTCAACATTTTGTTCTTTGTTCCCTATTATATTTGGCATATTGGAAACTGAGATTTTCTAATCTTAGTATAGGGTTAGAAATTATTCAAATTACAAACACTGAATTTGGTGTGTGGTCAAAACTTTCAGGGAGGGTACAGAAGTTGCTGGTAGAAGATTTTCAACAAACAAAAATAAAGTGAAATGACATGAATGGGCTTCGTGAAAAACATTATCTTACACTAAATTGAAGTTCATGTGAGTAATACAAAAAAATTAAATTCTGTTATATTAAAAGTTCAGCAACCAAAAGCTCTCGCTACAAAGGAGAACAAGCAACTACATAAACCGGGTTTCTATTCCATGCTATGAGGCAAAACAGTACCGGTAACGAAAGAAGAAACAGAGCATTCATTTGATGGGATTTTGGGAGAAAAAGTAAAAAACTGTAAAAAAAAAAAAAAACAATTCTCTTTAACAATGGTCCAATGCAATCCATACGCAACAGTGTAAGAACTAAGGATTAATAAAATCAAATTTAGACCAAACTTAAACAATACTAAGAAATAAGAGACTATACCACCAAATCCGAACAAGTGCCAATACCTACTAACTGAAATGAAAGTTTAAAATTGTGATACCTAGAGGCCAAAGAACATGTTAAGCAAGGTAGAAAGTAAGTGAAGTACTCTTATAAAGAAAAGAATGAATTATATATATCAAAGCCGGATAGGCAAGATCAACTCATCTATCAAAACAATATGTGAAATCACTTATCCTTGCCCTTCCTTTTCTTAGAGGGACTGCCCTTCCCTTTTTTGGAAGGACGCACCTTCTCAACAACCTTGTAACGATCAGCAGTAATCTCTGTCAACCACGACCCGGGGAAAATGTCCTGCACAAAAATCAAAATCACAGTGTTAACAAAAAAAATAAAAAATTAGTGTGCTAAAAAAACTAAAACAAACACAAAAATGTTAAACATAATGAAAAGGGCATAAGCAACCAACATCTAATTTCTTCTGCACAACTTTGGGCCTCTTGTTGGGCCTGCGAGGTGGGCGACAACCCAACATCTCCATGAAATCATCCTCAATCTCCTTCTTGGATAACTCCACATGAAATTTCACCTTTTTCACCTTATCAGAATTACTTCTCAAGTTAATGCCATTGTCAGTCATCGCTGGCGAGGAGGAGCAATTGGGGTTGTTCTTGTCAACATCATCATCATGATCATGAATCTTTAACCCTTGCATACTAACACTTGAAGCAACTGAAGCCGAAGCCTTACACTCTGCTTGCTTTTTTCTCAAATTCCACGGCTTGACAGGTTCTTCTTCTTCGTTAGCCAAAATCGCTTCTTTCAACCTATCTGCCTGATTCTTGAGATCAAGCGTCAGCTTCTGCCTCACTGCGGCGACGCCATCCTCATCCTCGCCGGAGCGTCACCGTTTCGAACGCCTCACATTCACTGCATGCTTCTTCTCAGGCTCCGACTCCTTCTTCTGCGTCGCCATTGATTCCTCAGTCTTTGACTCGGCAGAACGCTGATCACCGCTGCTAGAAACTCCGGCGCCGTCAGCGCTAGTGAAAATCGCCTTATATATTATACTATTAAAAAATATAAGGCTAGCCTGCAGGTTTTTAGGCCTGGATTTTTAAAGTGGATCTGTGTCCTGATTTTTAAATAAATTCTTCTAAAAGTCTAAATCTGTTCTATTTAGAAAATAGAGCATACCTAAGATAAGTTAGGTTGTAGGCCCCTAATAAGGCGCCTGACCCATTTACACTCCTATATAAATAATGAGAATTAAGTTGACTTAGCTCTATATATAAACAAGCTTGTGAAGATTATAGTAATATTTTCTGGTGCTCTGCAAAATTCCTCCAATCTATTATATATGTATTATTAATTTTTAATGTCAAATTCCATAATATCAGTATTGATATCCATAAGAAAATGAACATTATAATAATCACATCTTTTAATTTAGGTAACATGGCCAAGACAGGTGTCATTTATTTATTTATTTATATATAATCAAGGAGTTATAGTAGTGACACAAGATCATGAAATACATGAATCAATTGATATGAAGTTGTTCTAATTTAATTTTTAGTTAGTATTATTAAAAATTTGGTAGGAAGAAAATCAAGGTGGTAAGCTACACAAAAACGTTAAAATGCAAGCTATACACTCAATTTGAAGAATGATGGTTCTTTAAGCCAAAATAAACTTTTAATGTAATACATTGATAATGGGTACTCTCGCACTAAAAATTGTGCTAATGTGTAGTATATTTGTTCTATAAGGATAAATGAGAGTAAATAAAAAATTATGGTCACCAAAACCACTTATTGATGTAGAATTCCTTGAACAAGATTATCTTCTTCTTCTTTTTTATCTTTTCTTTCATAAGCTTCATGGAAGATTTATCTGCTTTTCTCTCGATTCTTTTGTCCTTCTTTTCACATTTTGCACTAAATTTCTCATCTAATGTACTTCTCTAAAACACTTCCACAAGTAAGGTTGTGTGTTCTTATTCTGCCATGAGTAGTTGTTTGGGCTATTCCAAAGAGATATCCTTGTAGTGGACAAATTGCACTTCCATTCCAATTTGATTGTGTACTCTTTATTGGGTTTTCAGTGTGTGTTATTATGCTAATATGATTGCTTCTCGGTTTATAATAAGGGGAGAAAATAAAATTTTAAAATTATAAGTATTATTAAGATTAAAAGGATATATGAATTATTATAAATATTTTTAGGAAGAACCCGACTATTAATATTAATTGCCTATTATTATCAAAAATGTTATTTTATGCATAAAATATTAAAAAATAAATTAAAATTAAGGGAGGGGCGAGCATCCACAACTATAGTTCTACCCATGCTAAAATGGCTTTTTCAGCCAGATGAATTAATACTGACATCATATCTTTGGTCTCAGTTCCTAGCATTATCTATAACTCAATTGTTGATGAGCTCAAGTCATTCTCCTTCTTCTGCTTTTTCAGAAGGAGACATTTGGTACGTAGATAAATTTTAGATTCTCATGATTTCATTATAAAGCAAAATTGTGAAACAAAATCTCTAGGAAGAATACCACCGGATGGGTGGTATTGTTGGAATCCCATCCGTTGGGAAAATTTCCCAAATTATTTCGGGAAAAAAAATACCATGTGTGGTCAAACGCCGCAGTCGTTTTTTTGATGAAAAATGCAGATACTGGTTCTGTTTCACGGTAGAAGTGCTTACCGATAAAGTATCCTGGAAAATTATAATAAGTAAGAGAATATTCCTAAAATAATATATAGGACTAGTACAACAAGTTTGAAGTCAAAATAATGAGAATTGGCGTCAGAACTGATACCGGCTACGTAAAAGCGCGTACCAGCAAAGTGCTACGAAAAATAAAATAAAAATATGTTAAATCCTAGAAAAATGGCTAGGTTCAGAATCCAAAGTTTGGGATTAGAATGATAAGCGTAGATATTAGTGCTAATACAATGTGCTTAAAACTTAAACCACCATAAATACTTAATGGCACATAACCCTAGGCCATATTTGCATATCCTACGTGAGTCCTCTGATGCCCTTAGCTGCTGCCACCCTTCTCCTTCTCCATTAAGACCTTCCAAGTAGCATTTCTTCATACTTTCTTCACCAAAACTCCATAACTAAGTGTGATCAAGCATTGAGTGGGAGAAAAATGAAATCTTGAGGGTGTGAGTAGGCTGTGTCTTCAGAGTTAGGGGCTGCCACCTTGGTTGGGTGTTGTGGAGCCATTGTCCCTTGCTTGTGTGGCTTCAAGAAGCCATTTTTGAAGGGAAAAGACCAAGCTTTGAGTGCCATTTTCGTGCACCTTGAAGTCAGAACTTTGTGGCTGCTGCGAGAGCTCCAAGAGCCACCTTATTTTCTGTCTTGAGCCTTGGTGGTAGGCACCATCACTTGTCATGAGTTTTTCTATGTTTAAAGTTGAGTCTTGGCATGTAAAATGAGTTGAGTAGGTAACCAACACCATCACTGACCTTAAAAAGTCTAAAAATGCATGTTTGGTCGTGTAACAATGTTAAAAGAGGAACCTTTAATTGATATCTTCGTGAAATGCAAAAACTGCATTCTGTCGCGAAATATCTGAATATGATATCCAGATATTGATATCCGGATATGGGCTTGGTGATATCCGGATATGGATATCCGGATATGGCCCCGACATATATCCGGATATTCTGGAACTTCGAGACAGTCACTTTTCTGTTCGTACAGAATGGTATTGTGGGTTTGTGGACCCATGATTGGTTAAGTCAAACCTCTATAATAATTAATCTAAGTCAGAATCAATTGGATTAAGGGCTTGTGGCTTTGTGAGAAGCCTAATGGCATGAAACATAAAAGGAAAGCTTTGTATTTATGTCATATACTTATAGATTATGGATGATGATATAATTGCTGGTATGAACAGACTGTGAGAGTGCTGCTTGTGGACCGTGGGTGGTTGTGGACCGTTGACTTGGGATTGATTGCTTGAGAGGTAAGCTTTCGTGTCCTTGGTTTTGTCCATTGTTGGTTCCACCATACCTCATGGAGGGATGATTTATATGCATGATGTGTTTTCATGAAATGATGATTATTGAAATGCTTTTGAGTTGTTAAGTGCAAGTGCCTTATAATATGTATGTGTTGTTCCACCTAGACGGTAAGCCTGAGTATGTAGCATCATACAAGATGGTGATTCTGTGGGTGAGGTGCAAGTAGCGTCTTGTACTCTGGGTTGTAGACGTATGTAATTCCTGCATGTTTATTCTCTGGCCAGTAGGATCTTGACACACATGACATGATTGTATGCTGCATTGCACTGATTTTGGAACTTATATTATTATACTGCTTTTGAACTTATATTGCACATGTAAGCGAGCTTGGGGTGGAGAGATCCTTGAGGATCCCTTGTCTCACTGAGATTTCTTTTTAGAGATCTCACCCTACGTTTGGGGCACATTTTCAGGTTCAGGTATCTCGGGGGTTGAGACATCTGGCGGCAGGAGGCCGGAGCTTAGTTTACTGATATGCATGCTGCTTATGTTTTTCATGCCTGGATGCTGATCATGATTTATTGTTATTGTATTGTTATTTGAGTTGAGACTATGTTGGACTTTGTTGTCTTATTTGGTGAGCACGAGAATTGTCCATGCCACATAGATTATGCTATGTTATTTAGACTCAAGTTTTATGAGTTTGTTTGATAAGTTTGGTCCCAAGGTTTGGTTATTAATAGTTTTTTACTCATCTTGTGATTGCTGCCTTGAAAAACAATTGCAAGAATGCTTTGACATAAAACAAATGTAGGAAGAACTTGAATAATCAGGACTTGTGATGCAAAAATATGAAGTGGAATTCCATAATAGCATCCGGCAAGACTCTGACAAAATTCTGATCTCACCTAAGTATTCCACGAATGAGAGAAGGGAAAAACAGTCATTTTTTTAGACCAAGCAATCGAAGAGATTTTATCATTTGAAAGTTTACCTTTTTATGTTCCAATTCTAGTCAGTCATTAATTTTTTTCAATACTTGAAATTTGATTCATATCTTTTCAATCGATCGTGCTTAGTTGATGACATTTCATAAAGTTCATATTCATATGCTTAATTGGTGTCTCATTGAGAGGATACAAAAACATAGAAATGCTTACAAACATTGTTTGCTGTTAATCTCTCAGTATCAAATCGAATTGGTCCTGAACGTTATAATCTGATCATGTGAAGGGTGGACTTAACTATAAGGAAATAGTATATGCCAGTAGTATGCCACTATTAACCAATAGTATATGCCACTAACCTTATCCATATTAACGCTCATATAATGAAAATGCTGGAAATATAAATAGCATCATTCATATGAAGGAACAAAGGATATATCGACATTACGAAAAATGAATAGATGAAAGTAGTCCAACACTATATTTTACTCCTCCTCACAATGGGAAAGACTATGCTGCAAAGCTGTCATAATTCCTCACTCAACCTACCTTTGTACATCAATATCCAAACCTAAGACCATGACTGATTTAATTTGAAGAAATCATAATTCATTATGGCAAAAGATGATCAGGAACACCAAGGTCAAACCCCTAAGCAACTAATTAAGCTCCGTAATTTTGCCTTAAATTCAACATATCCCAAATTCAAAATAAACCTCCTAGCTACAAGGCAAATCTCAGAAAAACAATTACAGTCCTCACTCCTCAGGCTCGGGTAGATGTTACAGGACTATTTTATTTACTCAAATTATTTCTGCTCCTTAACCTTGAGAATGATGTAATACCATATCAAGTACCAACCCTTGCAAAAATAAAAAAATCGCTATATATAGATGATGAGCCCCTTATATTTCAATTCTGTCTCCATGGCAGAATGTCTTGCCTTTAGTTCTAACATATCTTTGATTAGCTCATTGATCATGTCCCTGAAGCTTTGGAATACTGCTTCTTCAACGCTGCGTTGTTTCAAGAAAGAAATGGAACATAAGAGATAATGCTCTCAATGCAAATAGAAATGCTAAACATTACATTTACCAACCAGCAAAAAAGTGCTACACTTTTGTACACTAAAACATAAGGATAGCATTTGCCTTAAGAATAATTATTTGATAAAGGAAAGAAACACTCCAAGACAGTATAACTTGACAAAAAAAAATATAGATGCTTGTAGTTAATTTATTTGTGTTTTCAAAAAAACTCCCTAAAAAATAGCTTGATTCTTGAGAGAGAAAAAACTCAACTTTTAAGAAGTAAACAAAGCCAACAAACATGATTCTCCAGATGGATACTAGATATTAGTGTCAGAATTAGAAATTTAATTTAGATACAACGATTTTTTTTTTCTGATTGAAGTAGAAATAAAAAAAAGTATAGAATTGAGTTTTTGAAATTTTTGGAAGAAAAGAAAAAGAAAAATATCATTATTAACAATAAATTTAATACTTTTGAATTTGTAGAGATTTAGAAATGTCATCGCATAAACGAGAATCATATTTCAAAATTCTTTCGAATTTAAAAATAAAATAAGATGTTTATCGAAAAAAATAAAAAAAATAAAGGATTTGATGTTTGTCATTTTAAATGACATAAATTATGTCATTTTAGGAGAGAGATAGACACGGAAAAATGAAAATCATGAGAGAGAGAGAGAGAGAAAGTGAGTGATTTTTTTAATTTAAAATTTAAATAAATAAAAAATTTCTGTGTCTGTCTCTCTCTTAAAATGACATAACTTTATGTCATTTAAAATGATAAACATTTTTCCCAAAAATAAAATAAGATACGAGACAATTGAAATTTTATGATAAAAAGCAGAAAAATCAATAATGAAATTATTCTTCTTTTTTTTGGGCAGACCAAATTATTCTTTTCAATAATAAGTTTAACGTTTTTTAATTTTTAAAAACTTAAAGTCTTACATCAAATAAATAATTATTTACAATTTGAAATACTATTTAACCTAATAAATTTAATAATATAATGCTAATTTTATATCAATTTAGTTAATTTAAAGAATTTAATAGACTTTTGACATTTACTCAAATAAATAGGCCTCAACTTTTATCGGCTAAAAAAATTAGTAAATAATTTGAAAAAAAAATAAATTACTAATTTTTTTTTAAAAAAAAGGCAATGTCATATTGTCATCATTCATTTCAGCCAATAATTTATACTATCTCATCTAACCTAATTAGTTTTGTAGACTTTTTTTAGTTATGTGGGACTTTACAATGTGGTGTGGCAAAAAAATTTCAATATCATTGTCGCAGCTACATCCGGTCAATAGGAGTGTACCGCGTTAACTTGAGTTGCGTCAGAGAGAGAAAAAAATTACTTTTATAAATTACATCTTATCAGTAAGATATAATATAAAATATACTGTCACACCCAATATTTAATATTACCATCATACCCAAAAAGTATTCCGAGGTGGGGGGTATTTATTAATAAAATAACATCATATCATTGATAATAAAGAAAGAAAAATAAAATTAATAATCATATTATTATTATTATTATGAATAGGTTATTCTACTTATTTTGCCTACTACTTTTCAATATTATTAGATTCTCAACAAACTTTATTATTTATCTCTTCTCTCGATATTATGATCGAAAGATGTTAGAGAATATTAAATAAAGGTAGGCAAAAAAAATAGAATAACCTATCGCTTATTGGATTATTGTTATTAATTTTTTTTAATATTTTTGAATTTGAAAGGATTTGAAAATATTATCTATAATCATATTATTATTATTGATTTTTTTCCTTATTCACTAAACAAATTGTGTTAGAGGTGTTTATTAATAAAATAATACCATATTGTTGATAATAAGGAAGGAAAAAGAAATATCAATAATCATATAGTGGAGAAAATCCTCCATCGCCTTCCGCCCAAAAGATTATATAATTAGTTGTTAATCTTTTACGTCAAATTCCATTATATTGGTATTGATATCCATAAGAAATTGAACATTATAATAATCGCATATTTTAAATTAGGTAACATGGCCAAGACATGTGCCATTCATTATTATTATTTTATATAATAAAGGAGTTTAGTAGTCACACAAGACCATGAAATACATGAATCATTTGAAATGAAGTTGTTTTAATTTAATTTTAAGTTAGTATTATTAAAAATTAGGCAAGAAGAATTATGAACCTGACTCGACTAAATTAATAGATTAATCAAGAAATTAGTGAAGAAATCTTTTCTTTTATAAAATATATCATATTACTAATAGGGTTATTTGGGTATCAAGGTACGGACTGAATATAAGAATTTGTTCAGTTGGATAATTATAACTATATAAAAAGTGAATAAAGAGAAAAATGATATACACTTTTGATCAATTAAATTAATGAAATAAATACTCAAAATGATATAATTTTATCTGATAGGACTATCCAGTGAATAATATTATCTACTTGCGAATATTTTTAAATTAAGATTAATTATAATTTTTTTTTTTTAAATAACATAATATTTAATGACTCCTGCAGAAATAAATTCTGATTTCCACTTGGACAACAGAAGATTTCTTGATTGACACGCGTCAATAAAAACATTTTTCAAAAAAGAAAAAATAAATAAAAAACTTAAAGGATTGATGAAGGGGGAAGACGATCGAGTTGCTTCGCTTGTATGGTTTCAGTGTGAGAACTTGGTTGCTTCAATTCATCTTCGGAACGCGTTTTCTCTTCAAAGGTTCATTCATAACACCTTTCCTCTATTTCTGTTTTTCTCTTATCTCCTTTTCTTTTCTGCATTTCAATCTAGATCTTTTTTTTTTAAATAAAATAAAATAATCTCCATTTTTTTTTTCTACCTCGTTTATGTTTGCTATATTATTGTTTATGTGTTTATTTTTATTTACTGAATTAATTCGAATTCCGCCTTGTTCTTCCTTAAACCCTAGTGATTTGTTGGGTAAATTGTTGATTCTATGCCCTTATTATTGAATAGCAACTCCTTTTGTGTTTTTTTTTTGGCAAATAGGGGTTAACAACTTAACATCCCCATTTACATGATGCAAATTAGGGTGTGGACAGGGTCTATAGCATCAGCAACTTGGGAACTTGGATGGGTTGGGAATGAGGCCACTTCCATGAATTTATCTGAACTGAAATCGTTCTTGGTACCGTTTGGGCTGATTATGTTTTAGTGAGATGATTTCTTCGGCAAATTTTTTTTTATTGCAATTTAATTAAATAATTACGCAAATATGACAGTTTGGGGAGTATTTACAGATCTATTGCACACTGTGACTATGAAGCACCGATACTCCTTAAATTTTTTTTCAACGTATCAGATACGCGTATCGGAAACGGACACGTATTGTATGGTAATCGACATCCTGTATTATCGAGAACGTATCGAAAACGCCGTATCGGTGCTTCATAGCACTGTGACGCATGTGACGCCCCAGTGAGGCGTCTCTCATGAAGGAGAAGACGCCCCAATGGGGCGTCACATGTGACGCCCAAAAGGGGCGTCTCATGTGCAATACTATAAATACCCCATTTTTCCCATTTCACTCCTCACTCATTCACCTCTCTCTAACCACGGTTCGTAGCGAAGCTCTGCCGACTTAGGTAAGGTCGTAATACCTCCTATGTATACGTTTAAATTACAGTGCTAGTTAGTAATACATGTTAGGATCGATCGTATATTAGGATTGATCTTGAATGTTGTAATGATACTTCCCTTTTTTTGTTACGTAGTTATTATTATTAATATTTAATTATGCATTAGGGTTTAGCGTATTAATTAGTGATTTAGAAAATAGTGATAGAGAATTCGTAAATTTTGTATGTATGATGTTGTTAATGCGGGAGTTTATTCATAATTTTGTAGTCAGTTAGGTGTGATGATTAGTACATATTTATGAGGTTATTAGTGACCTAGGGTTAAGTATTCTGTAAGTATTACATTATTTTTGTCCAATGTTTTTTTATTATTTAATTACAAATAAATGACTGTACTACGTATTAACATTATTTCATTAATTTCGATTCTAGTAAAATAAATGGCGCATATGCTTAAATTTTTTGATAATAAATTATGGCATTGCTTAGTTAATTTGTAAATAAAATGGGGCATTACATGTGATTAATTTAAATGTTGTTTTATATGATATAGTTGAGGGTAATGGCTGATTCATCATCTTCATCGGGTTCTGCATCGGATGTAGAGCCTACCGATCCCAGCATGTACATCATACCTGGGCCGTACAGATGGGAGGTCCTTCGTAAGAGGACACATCGTGCTCATATTTCACCAAACACTGGTTTCATGGCCCTAACGCGCCACGGGAAACCCTTATCATACGCACAACATTTCATGGATAACTTTGTAGGCGTGCTCTCAATTACAATTGCTTCTTGATGCTCCCTAATGAGGAGATGCTTAAGTGCCATTTGGACATCTTTTTTGTTGCAAATTCTTGATTGACAAATAACTTGTCATCCAGTTGCCACGGACCTTGTATTGAACCCGATCCTGAGACCGTACCATCAGTGCAAGATTCTTGTTCGCTCCGATAACTCCAATCAATGTAGGAATAATGCGGAATTCCTTCCCAAAAAGGAATAACAGCTTCGTCACCTGCAACTGCAGATTGTAACTTTTTAATACAAACTTCCTAATTCAGGTATTAAATCAGGTATCTATTCAACTATATACACATTATTTCAATTATCTTCATGATGAATACCTAATGGGGCAGACGCAACGTCATGCAACTGCGGCATTTGCGCGACCACTGGTTCATGGAATATTGGGATTTGAGACGCACCCATGTCGGCACCTTCATCTCCTTCGGAAGCACTAGCATCCTCCGCCAGAAGACGTTCTTCCATTGCGATATTTTCATCATCATTGTCGTCGTCTTCGTCGTGCATTTCCTAGGTCAGATCATTTTCATCTCCCTCAGAATAGTTACTAACTGGAGACGCATGAGCGGCAGACGAAGATGGAAGACGGGGAGAATTTAAATCAACTGACCTCACCGGTAAAGGAACATTCTCGGTTGCGGCGATGTCGACATACAACTCCAGAAAATCTGTCTTTGACTGGTTGAAAAATTCTTCCATTGTCATCTTCAGGTCTTCATCGTCAACCACTTGCAAACTAATGTATTTATCACATTGCCTTAACTTTGTCGTGATCTGATTGATACATTGGTTGCCTTGAAGACTTAACTTTTGCCGAATTCTCTGATGCAGTTCGCCAATGGTTGCGTTGCGTTGGATACGTGTCGGCCTTTTTTCACCTTCAAACATGACACCTCGTCGACCTTCTACCTTCCTACCATTGTAATATAACACAACACGAACAGAATCAGGATGTGAACTCATTTTTAAATAGTAGAAATAAAATTCAAATACTAAATTAAAGGGAATAGATATGAAGAGTGAGAGAAGAGGTGTGAAGAGTGAATGGAGGGGTGGGGGGATTATATAAGCTGCACAATGTGACGCCCCAATGGGGCGTCTCTACCCTAGGGTGAGACGCCCCATTGGGGCGTCACATTGTGCAGTAGATGTGTAAATATTCCAGAAACAGCAATAAATGAGTAATTATTTAATTAAAATGCAATAAATAAATTTTTTTGCCTGATTTCTTCATGTGATGAGAGTTTTCTTTATCTATAATTTGTTGACTTTTGCTTATTCAATTTGTTTCTGATTACCGGTGGACTTTAGCTCAACTGGTATCTCTCCTAGTCTTGTCTAGGAGGTTCTGCAGATTCCCATTTTTGCGTTTTCCCTTAGGTCAAATAGAACCTCCCTAGAACTTTAAAAGAAAAAAAAGAAGAAATTGTTTTTGATTGATTATTTGTCTTTTGACATTGCAGTGAGAATGTATAACAATGTTGGGCCGCAACTAGGGGTTCCTCAACTTCATCCTCAACCTCAGACAGTCCTGCAACCTAATGTGTTTGGGAATGCATTTCAAGTCGCCGGTTCAGGACTCGTTCGAGGTGGATTGGGTGCATATGGAGGGAAAATATTAGGATCAAGCTCTGAGTACGTCCAAAGCAACGTATGTATCATTCTATCATTATTTTTATTTAATAATTTAATTTGACATACTAATTCATGGTTGATAATATAGATCTGTTTCTGTTTCTCTTAAAAAAAATTTATCTTTTGTATGATTGATTTCTTTTTGTTTTTCGCTGTCTTCCTTGTGTTCAAAATTCAAATTGTGTCTGGAAAACTGCTTATTCTGAGAAAACTGAAATGACCTCTTCAATCCCCTGTTTCTAAGCGGTTTCATTAGAGCAATACTTATCTTTTGACTATCAGAAATTATTATAATGAACAATTTAGCATTTTAATATTGGAGTTCCCGTTTAAATTTTTCTAGCAAAATTTGAAGTGTTTTGCAATTTTTTTTTTAAATCTATTTCATATACGGCATGTGCCCTTACCTTCAAGAATGCTTACCTATCAATCAAGTCAGGTTCCACTGATTTTGGTGGGAGAAACCAGTACAACTGAAAGATGATTTTAAAAAGCCGTTGCTAGTTTGCTGGCATTAATTATAGATATTGTCTCTAAGTATGAATGCCAAGTTTTATTTTTAAATCAATATTCTTTTTCAATATCAGATAAGTCGGTATTTCTCTGATCCCCAATACTACTTCCAAGTGAATGACCACTATGTTAAGAACAAATTAAAGGTGATTTTGTTCCCATTCCTGCACCGGGTAAGCAACAATGTCACTCTTCTCTGCTTTTATCTAGTTGAATTTTCATTTTGTTACCTTATTGTATCTTCTTGCTTGAACTTATCTTTTTCTTCTCTTGTTCAGGGGCATTGGACTAGAATTCCAGAACCAGTGGGAGGTAGGCTCTCTTATAAACCACCACTTTATGACATAAATGCACCCGACTTGTACATTCCATTCATGGCATTTGGTACCTACGTTGTTCTTGCTGGCATCTCATTGGGTCTTCATGGAAAGTAAGTACAAATTTTCCTTTATCTTAATTCTATAGATAGTATTGACATGAATTATATTTATTTTCTTCAAATTTAAAGTTATCCACCCTGCTTGTACTTGTGATTTGTGTTTATCTATATGCTGCATGTCACTTTTCAGCTTACCTTGTATTAGTTCCATTCTGTGTCAACATGATTAATACTTAGCATAAATTTTTAGCTGAATAAATTTTCTGTTCATGTTAAAACCTCTATTACTCAGAATGGCCTTTTCAAAAGTGTCTTAAGGATCCCTGAAGTGCTATTTGCAGTAGTAATTGTAGACTCTTAAATTGTTACTGACGACAGTAACTATGTTGCAAACTATTTGCTACTATATTTAATCAGGAGAATTGTAAAGGAATAGATAAAGCTGTTTTCCTCTCTATGATTTCTCAATGCTGTGCTGTGAAATTATTTTGCTCTATGATGAAGAGTTCGGAAATCATTTTGTGAAAAGGATTTGTGTGTCTGTGGCCTGTGCATGGGGGTGGCAAGGGGAATACAAACATCTACGTACCTTATGCATTAAAAACATGGTATCGTATTAACTGAATTGAACAGTTGCAACTCCATTGTCAGGCTATAATTTGCGCTAGTTCCCCCCTCTCTTCTTGTCTGGGGTGTTGGATTTTGGCAAGTTACACTAGGAATTTGGTTTGGTTTTGTTCCATCTCCGCATGCATTCTAGTTTGTCATAGTTTCTTAAACATGCTGTATTTGTGGCCAGGTTTAGTCCTGAAGCTTTGAATTGGTTATTCATCAAGGGATTGCTTGGTTGGTTTACGCAAACAGCACTGCTTAAAGTGACATTACTTTCATTGGGCAGTGGGGAAGCACCTCTATTGGACTTTATAGCATATGCTGGGTATACTTTCCCTGGCATGTGTTTGGCTGTTCTTGGAAGAATAATATGGGTTTACTCCTACTACTTTTTGATGCTATGGACCTGCTTATGCATGGCAATGTTCTTGGTGAAAACAATGAAGAGAGTTGCAGAGGTCAGGAGTTATGATTCAAGCAGACACCACTACCTCTTGCTCTTTATTGCTTTGGCTCAGATCCCCCTGTTTGCATGGCTTGGAAACATTACTGTCAATTGGCTTTTATAGAGTGATAGCGTTTTTACTGTACTTGGAAGCACTTAGTGATATTTTTTGGTTGTTAACGTTGGAGAATAGTAATATATGGGCTTTTTCTCTTCCCCTTGCTTTTATCTGTTGGATAGGTTGGGGGATAAACCTCATCAGAGATGCATAATTATAGGCCTTCTCCTTCTCTGCATATATTATACGCTTTTATTTTTCATTATACCTAGTAGTAATTCACACATCTTTATTTTCTACACAGACGATTACCATTGTGAAATCACCATAAGAGAGTCACCTTTGATAGTGGTGACTCTTAGGCCAATATCCACTATCATGCATTGCGCTGATTGGCCTGTCGCGTTTTGTGTCCGTACTGTATCCACCATTAAAATAAATAAATTGTTGCTTCTTGCAAGAGTGCCTTTAATATGTTTTGTCAGGGGAATGAATGCTTTTGTATGACATGAGATCATGTGAGTGAATCTCACTTGTGCTAATACAAATTAATGGTTTTTTTTTTTTATCTCTTTTTATCTTAATTCTTCTGTCATTATTGATTTATAACTAGATGGTTGGGTTCCTCTCGTATAATCTGAGAGTATCTATTTCTCTCTTGCATTAAGATATGTGTGAGCAAAGAACTCTGGTAGAATATTCTCTCTATAAAGTTGTGATCTTAGTAAAGTGGACGACATGATCTTTGCAGTTTCTCTCCATAATTTTTTGAAATGGATTCAATCAATTAGTGGTATGCAAACAACGCTAAAGAAAGGGGAAAACCATTTTCCACCGCAACAGAATGAACAGATAAGCTAGGGGGGAGAAACTTAATAAAGAAAAATTACTAAAACAAAAACCTGCATTATAAGTTATAAGCAACAATGGGTGTGGCATCATTTTTATTCCATGTGTCTTCTTGGGAAGAATCGGGCTTTATTTGGCCAGCATTGATGAATTTTATACTGGAGTTAAGTGGCAACGGTATTGATAAATTCTTATACACAGATATTGAAACATCTCAACGTTCCTACTGCTTTGAGAAACGTTTTGCTCTATTGATATGATGTATACCCACAAGGGACAGATTTTGTGATAATTAAATTCAATGTTTAAAGGGTTTTTGGCCATGATAGAACTTGAAATCATGAGACATTACTTGCCAAAAAAAAAAAAAAATCCTCATTATTATTAGACATACACCCAAAAGGTGTAAAGGCATAGAGTCTAATCTACACCCAAATTCGAAAAGTTATTTATTTTTAATAAAAACTAAATAAATCGGTAGAGTCTTGCTTAAAGACTCTAATCGTCAAGAAATTCTGAAATTTTTAAGAATAACATCTTCAATAGCTGTGATTCATTTTAAAATTTATTAAATAATATTTTAAATTTAATTAACCTAGAGGACTGTATGTTTATATAATCCATATTTTTTTTGGTATATATCAAATGTTTATCTTTTCTCGTCCATTCCTACGTACTGGTACTACACATTTTCAGTTCATATTCTTAAGATTGTTGATATTTTGTTATAGTAATTAAATTAGGTAAAAAAAAAAAAAACTAAGTAATTATGCGAATAATTTCATTTGCATATAGCTAGTAATATGCAAGAACGTTAAGAAAAAGCTTCGAAACAGACAACAAACAGCTTCAAATGTCATTTAGTAGGAAATAATAATTTTAGACTGAAGAATTGCACATTTTTAATTTGTGTAGTTTTTTTATTTTAATTTTTTTATTCAGTTCTTTTCATCAACACTTGTTTAGTTGTGTTTATAATGAAAAGGATAAAGCAAGACTAGAGAGAAACCAAGAGGAAAATAAGGAAAAGCAAAGAGGAAGTCAGGGAACAAATAAGGCTGAAGAAACTGAGCAAATAACAAGAAGGAACATGTTTAGAGGTAGAACCGTGTTTTTGACCAAATGATGGTAGGTCAGTTGATACATTAGAGTTGCATGTGTTTGATTATCTCTAGTATCATCTTTGGAAAGAATTTAAAATATTAATAATGAACCCGCTCCGAATATGATTGTCTTACATGAAAAGTACATGTAGTGTATAAAAAGAAAGAAAGAAAAAAAGAAAGTAAACCTGTGTTTTAAGTGGATCAATTTTAGAAAATAAACTTGTGTTTTAAGTGAATCAATTTTTTTATTTTTTATTTTGGGTAAACAAGTGGATCAATTTTAACTTCCTCTACTTTGTCACTGACTCTAAGGCGATTTTCACTCTCAAACAAATAATAATATCTAGGGTGTTGCCGATTTTAGTGTTGAATTAAGCCAACTTGCACATTAGTTTTCCGCCACAAACAACAAAAACCATACATTTTTTTAACGTAACAAAAACTTGGTGAATTTGAGATTCTGTTAATAGTTACTAAAATAAGCCATAATGCTGTTAATTTTAATTGAATGGTCTTGGAGTTGGAACCACTACTCCACTACCCACCCCCAACATATCATGAAGTGGCTTAAAACCTTGCCTTCGACTGCAACCAGAATCAACTAAAAGAACATTCAATCAGGAAGATAAAATCATAAGAAAAAAACTCACTAATTAAGAATTCAAACACTAACCAAAAGCTGAGAAATAGGCAATATAGCTTTGAGTACACAATTTGAAGAATTTAGGAATATACGGGATGACAATTGGGGATAAAACTGAAATGACATTCTCATCAGAGTCAGAGTCAGAGTCATAGAGCTTACTTTTATATATATATATATATATATATTACAAAAAAATGTGGAATTAATTGAACTATACAATATCACTAATCATAGCTCACAAGAGCAGTTCTAAAATACAATATATATTTTTTGTAAAAAAAATGTTTGATTATTAGATAACAATGATAAAACTTTAACGTGATAAAATTGTAACACGTGTAAAGTGATGCGAGATATAAGAGAATAATTCAGCATTACCTACCACAATTTGACCATACAAGACAATGTCAAATATGATTAGGATCCACGTAAGGTCTGTCTCAGCTCCGAATCTCTCTCAAATTTGGACCCTTCGTTTAGTTGCAACTTGCAACTCACATCCCTCAAGTCACGCTCTGTTCAGACTGCTCCCTCCTCACCATTTGTACTCTTTAACTACCATTGCATTGCATTTGCATCACAACAACAAAAACCAAAAAATCAAATACTAATTTTTTTTTTTTAAAAAAAGACCTATTTTCAAGGAAAGAAGACAAAGACTATACTATAAATAAATAAAAATGAGTTGAGGGAGCATGTTAGCTTAGTCCCATCCTCATCACACACCACATGCACTTTACTTTGTTTTTCCAAATTTACCCTCCTCATAGTTACCCCATTCTCCCCCCTATAAAAACCTTCTTACCCAGCCCTTACTACAAACATCACATTTTTGCTTCTCATTTATTCCATTCCATTTTATTTAGGTCAAGAAATTAACACACACCAAAGAAAGAGAAAGAGAGAAGCAAAAACAAAAACAAGAACAAGAACAACAACATCGTTAGTTTTTACCGTTGATGGCCACCCGAGTAATCCCTCCAAGAATCCTAAGGAACCTCCGTTACAACACCGCAACAAAGCCTCTAACATCTCCACACCCTTCTCTCTCACCAACTCTCTCTCTTCCCGGTTTAGTTGACCCCAAACCACCCTCCTCAGCCGCCATCCTCCCTCCCGCCGCCGACCCCTCCTCCCTCAACCTCCACGACGTCGAGAGGCTATTCTCACACGTCCCCACCGCCAACCTCCTCCGCTCCACCGCGGTGCTCCACGCCACCGCGCTTGAGCCAATGGTTGACCTTGGCATGTGGATCATGAGGTCCAAGCTCATGGAGATGGATGGTCTCAAAGATCTCGTCCTCGCCGCCATCCGCCACACCTTTTACGACAACTTCTGCGCCGGCGAGGACGCCGCCACCGCCGGAAAAAGTATTAGGTCCTTAAACGACGCCGGTTTGCGTGGCATGCTTGTGTATGGCGTGGAAGATGCTCATGACAACCTTGGTTGTGACCGGAACCTTAAAGGGTTCCTTCACACCGTCGATGTTAGCAGATCGCTTCCACCATCTTCGGTAATCTCTTCTTCACTTCATCTTTTTAAACTTTTTTTTGTTCAAAAAATGTCTTCATTCAGGTAAATTAAATGATATTGTACAATTACTTTACTTTTCTTATTAACATTAATTGTGTATTGTTTTGTTCAAATTTGGCGTTCATCAACCAATGCAACTCGTTAATCATTGGTGTGCGGATTTTGTTGTGCATACATAAGAACTATTGTTGTTTGTGTTTTTTTTTTTTTTTCCTTCGGTTTTTGCATGTAAGGGACGGCAACGAACGATGAGATCTGAACGTGACACGTGTCCTTAATGGCATTGAGAAAACGGGTGACTTGGTTTGGGTTCGGTTGAGGTGATGGTTGTTGTGATGCGCGGTTGAGATGCAAAGAATCACCATCAATGATGAATACGTGCTGGTCCCACGGACGAGTGGCTGGTCCCACCTTTGCAACTTTAATTTTTCGGTGATATCCCTGATCTGGTCACACGTGGAATAGGAATGAAATCTTGTACTGTAAATGTTACTAGGGACACAGATTTACAGTGCTTGAAATGGGGTAGGGTGGAAGTGTTGTTTTTCTCTCTCTCACAACACCAGCTTGCAACAACTAGAATCATCTTGATTTCGTAGTCAATTTTTTCTTTTGGTAACTAAGCACTAGTAGATCACGGAAACATCGTGGTTGCTTGTGCTTTATTGTTATCTGCTTTTTTTTCTATGTGTGAAGAGTGGTGTGGTGTGGTGTGTTATGTCAGTGTTGCTAATGGTTCAAAAATTTAATTTTTGATTGTGATAGGTGAGCTTTGTCATCGTGAAAATCACTGCAATATGTCCCATGAGTTTGCTAGAAAGAATTAGTGACTTGCTTAGATGGCAGCAGAAAGACCCTTCTTTCAATTTGCCATGGAAGAAAGATTCCTTCCCCATTTTTGCACAGTCGAGTCCTTTGTACCACACCCGGAAGAGACCGGAGCCTCTAACCCCACAAGAAGAGAGTGATCTGGAACTTGCCAATCAGAGACTCCTTGAACTTTGCCAAAAGTGTGTGCAAACCAATGTTCCTTTGTTGATTGATGCAGAGCATACCTCGGTTCAACCTGCTATTGATTACTTCACATATTCCTCTGCCGTTATGCACAACAAAGGTGACAACCCCATTGTGTTTGGAACCATTCAGACTTACCTGAAAGATGCCAAGGATAGGTTGTTGCTGGCAACAAAGGCTGCTGACAAAATGGGAATCCCAATGGGGTTCAAATTGGTGAGAGGTGCTTATATGTCGACTGAAAGAAGATTGGCTGCTTCTTTGGGTTATGCATCCCCAATTCACAATACAATCCAGGACACACACAAGTGCTTCAATGATTGTTCATCTTTTCTGCTTGAGAAGATTGCTAATGGCTCTGGTGGGGTTGTTCTTGCAACGCATAATGTTGAATCAGGTACAAGGACATATTGGCTATTTCATTTTCTGATATGATGGTTTGTAATGAGAAAACCAAGGAATCCAATTGATGGGTCTGATATATTTATATCTGTGAAAATGCTGTGTAGGGAAATTGGCTGCTGCAAAAGCTCATGAATTGGGAATTGGAAAGGTGAACCATAAGCTTGAATTTGCACAGCTATATGGAATGTCAGAGGCACTGTCCTTTGGTTTGAGCAATGCAGGGTTTCAGGTTAGCAAGTATATGCCATTTGGACCTGTAGAGACTGTTATGCCATATCTCCTGAGAAGGGCTGAAGAGAATAGAGGGATGTTGACTGCTTCAGGCTTTGATAGGTACCTGATGAGGTAAACTTTTTTACCATTTCAATATTGTAATCCCTTGGCACTGTGGCGCATGAAACATTTGGTTAGTGTTGTTGTTCTGACATTGATGTTTTCTTTGTGCAGAGAGGAGCTGGTAAGGAGACTAAAAGCTGGTGCCTTTTAAATCGATGGGTGAATTAATGGTTTGTAATAATGTCTTGATTGTAGGCAATAGGATTCGCCAAATCTTTGTACAAATTAGAGAATCCTGTAATCTGTTTGAATTGCGCATTCAAGATAATGAAATGTGCATTGTGCTACGTATACTCCACTTTTTTGTGCGTAGTGCAATACGTGAAAACAAAAAATACTATTTATTCAGTGTATACGTAATTCCATTTGAATGTGACTATAAAATTTCAAATATAGAAGGTTACATTGAAATAAAATATCAACTAGTACTTAAACTCGCTAATTGACATAACAGCCCAATTACAGCAGTTGGAATTCCCAAAACATAATAAGCTCCAAGGTTAGGTGTTGCCACCTACATCCTGTATCATGTTCTATCAAATTCTGGAGCTCTTCCACCTGTCCATGTCAAAGGCAGTTGTCAATAACAATAATTTTGTAACTTCCCAGTATATGGATATAAATTAGAGACCTGCAACATCATCGTAGTTGAAGACGCGTTTACATTTTTCTGTTTTTGAGATAGGTTTAGCATTCTTTTGGATCCTTTCATTGGCTAATTCTTTGTAAGAACCTTTCTCTAATCAAGTACTTCATTGGTCTTCATTGTAAAATGAAAGTAAAATAACTTAACTACTATTTAGCTATTGCCTCTATCACATGCCAACAGCATGTCCTGGCTTTCCAACAACCTACAAAATGGAGTAAGAAATTTCAAGTATCAAATATCTAAACATTAACACATAAGAGGGTTCTATCGTATCTTTTGCTACGGTATCTCTTGCACCGTTAACCATTGGATTTGCATTGAGATTGGTTCAACATGTTGGGCTTCCTCTTTCAATGCTAAGCCCAAGCCCATTTGAGGGGTTTTCTAAAAACCCTAACTCTAATTTCCACCTCCTCTATATATACTCATTAGTTGTGGGTGGAGGCTAGGTCATACGAGAGAATTTTATTTGACAGATATTTGAGAGAAAATTGTTTGAGCAAAACTTTATGCTTTGCATTTGAGAGATCTCTAGAGGGAGTTTGAGTGAAACATCTCTAGAGTAGTTTGATTATCACCATTGTTGGAGAGGTTGAGTTAACCACTACATTGGTGTATTCTGATTATTTTGTAACCATTATTTTCATAGTGGATTTTTGATTTGGACTAGGTCCCGTAGGTTTTTACTTTGTCATTGAAGAAGGTTTTCTCACGTTAAATCTGGTTGTGTTCTTCTTCGTTTTGATATTTCCGCTGCGCTACCTGACCTGGTGAAGTTCAGGCCGAGGGGTTGCTGAGATCAGGATCTTGTTGATTGACTTCCGCACAAAGGCCCCTGAGCCGAGCTTGAGGGAACCGATTTTTTCCCAACAGTGGTATCAGAGCCCGAGTTCGACGGGTTCTGAGGGAGACGAGATGGAGACCAGTGGCATAACCAATGATGGAGACATGTTCAAGTTGATCGCAGATAATTTTACCTATTGGAGACCGATGATGGAAGATCATCTCTACTGCAAAGATCTACATGAGCCCATTACCCTTGATGAGAGACCGGCAGGCAAGACCGATAAGGAGTGGGAGATCCTGAGTCGAAAGGCGGTAGCCACGATCAGGAAATATATTGATAAAAGCCTCTTTGAGCACGTGTCCGAGTTCACGAACGCGTATGAGTTGTGGACGAAGCTGGAGTCCATGATTCAGAAGAAGTCTCCCAGGAATAAAGCATACCTAGTTCGCCGACTTGTAAAGCTTGAATACAAGGACGACATGAGCATGATTGAACACCTCAACACCTATAAAGGTATTGTGAATAAGCTGTCAAAAACTGAGATGAAAATTGATGATGAGATGCAGGCTTTGCTGCTGTTGAGCTCGCTGCCAGAAAGTTGGGATACTCTGGTGGTGACTTTGAGTAATTCAACTCCAGAAGAAAAGTTGAAGATGGATGTCGTGACAGATAGTCTTTTGAGCAAATAAGTCAGGAGAAGAGAACGAGGTGTTTCAAGCACGTCTGATGCCAACGTTGTTGAGAACAAAGGAAAATCTGACTCCCGGGGTAGAAGCAAAAGAAGGGGTAGAGGTCGTGACAGACGAGAAAAGTCCAGAGGTCGGTCAAAGCCGAAATATGAGTTGAAGTGTTTTTACTGTGGAAAGACAGGCCATAAGAAGCCAGACTGCTGGACCCTGCAGAATGACGAGAAGAACGGCTCTGTGAAGCCGGATTAGATTATTCCCAAGAAGAGGGAAGACAAGAGCACCACTGCGGTGGCTGCCAACCCGGATGCCGAGATATTCCTCCTTGGTGAGGATAATTATTTGAATGTTGCATATGATGACTGCACTTGGATTGGTGATTCCGGTGCCTCCTTCCGGTGCCGAGATATTACTCCACACAAAGGTTTTTTCTCCTCTTATCGAGGTGGTGATTTTGGAGTCGTGAAGATGGAAAATCAAGTGACCAGCAAGATTGTTGGTGTCGGTGATGTAACTCTGACCACGGAGGTCGGATGCCGACTTGTGTTGAAAGATGTAAGGCATGTTCCTGACATGCGTTTGAACCTAATCTCGGTAGGCAAACTTGATGATGCCGAGTTAGTGAACTACTTCGGTAGTGTTAGATGGAAGCTGGCCAAGGAAAACTTGGTCGTGGCCCGAGGTAAGAAGGAAGGCTCCTTGTACGTGATACAAGGAAAGATCAATGGCGGAGAAGCCAATTCTGTCCAAGATGAACCTAACTTGGAGCTATGGCACAAGCGCCTCGGCCACATGAGCGAGAAAGGGCTCTAGATCCTGAACAAGAAAAGATTATTGACCGGGTTGAAAGGCCAAGCGTTGGAGAGTTGCCTGCACTGCCTAGCCAGAAAGCAGCACCAGGTTTCTTTTGTGAGACCGGATCAACCAAGACGACGCAGGTATATTCTTGACCTCGTCCATACTGATGTTTTCTCTATGTCAGAGAAATCTCTTGGAGGAGCTCAGTACTTTGTTTCATTTATTGATGACCATTCCTGCAAAGTGTGGGTATATTTGTTGAAGTCTAAAGACCAGGTACTCCAATCATTTAAAGAATTCCATGCTATGGTTGAAAAGGAGACTGGCAAGAAATTGAAGGTGGTCCGATCTGATAATGGTGGTGAGTATTGCGGCCCATTTGATGCATACTGCAGAGCGGTCGGGATTCGACTTGAGAAGACGCCTCCCAAGACACCTCAGCTGAATGGACTGGCTGAGAGGATGAACAGAACTATTGAAGAGAAGGTCCGAAGCATGTTATCCAATGTCGGGTTACCGAAATCATTATGAGGATAAGCCGTCAAAACAGTTGTTGACTTGATCAACCTCTCACCATCGCAGCCACTTGAAGGAGAAATTCCAGAAGAAGTCTGGACAGGTCGGAAAGCGGCCTACAATCAATTGAAGGTGTTTGGATGCTGAGCTTTTGTGCATATCCCTAAATATGAAAGGGCTAAATTTGATGCAAAGACCAAAGAATGCATCTATCTTGGTCGCCGAGATGTGAGTTCGGGTTCCGACTTTGGGATCCAATCAATAAGAAGATCGTGAGAAGCCGAGATGTGATCTTTCATGAAGATGAGAACATTCATGACATCTCGAAGCCCAAAGTCCGGGTTACTGTCAGACGTGAAGAACTCGTCCCTCCTGTCCGAGCTGAAGCAGGGGGAGAAAATCAAGAGAATGAAGAAATTGATGACCAGCAACAAGCTGAAGATGACCAAGACACTGAGGTCCGAGTTGAGGATGAGATCCGGGATGAGAATGATGAACTGGGTTCTCAAGCTGAAGAATAAACGAGATATCCAACTCGAGAAAGAAGACCCTCTACGAGATACCCATCTGATGAATACACCGTTGTTGCTGAAGACGGTGAACCTTAGAGTTATGATGAGGCTGTGACGAGCTCAGAGAAAGGAGAATGGAAAAAGGCAATGCAAGACGAGATGAAGTCTTTGCACGAGAATCAGACTTATGAGTTGACCGAGTTGCCTAAAGGAAGACGAGCTTTGAAAAATAAATGGGTCTACAAGATTAAGAATGAAGAGAACGGGAAAAAGCCGAGATACAAAGCCCGAATTGTAGTGAAAGGCTGCAATCAGAAGAAAGGAGTAGACTTTGAGGAGATTTTTTCTCCTGTGGTGAAAATGACCTCGGTCCGAACCGTGTTAGCTATGACGGCTTCTTTGGACCTCGAGGTAGAACAAATGGACGTGAAGACGACATTTCTTCACGGTGATTTAGAAGAAGAAATATATATGGAGCAACCTAAAGGGTTCCGAGCTCCAGACCAAGAAGACTTGGTATGTCGGTTGAAAAAGAGCCTCCATGGCTTGAAGCAAGCACCTCGACAGTGGTACAAGAAATTTGAATCATTCATGACTTATCATAAGTTTGAGAAGACAGAAGCCGACCACTGCGTATTTGTGAAGAGGTATGAGGCTAGAGATTTTTTGAGTTTGTTGTTGTATGTTGACGACATGCTTATTGTAGGGAAAGACAAATCGAGGATAGCCGCCCTGAAAAAGGCGTTGAGCTCGTCCTTCGCAATGAAGGACCTCGACCCTGCAAAGCAGATTCTCAGAATCAAGATCATTCGAGATAGACAGAAGAAGCTACTGTGGCTGAGTCAAGAGAAATATATTGAGAAGATTCTGAAGAAATTCAGCATGGACAAAGCCAAAACAGTGAGCACCCCCCTTGCTGGACACATAAAGCTGAACCAGAAGCAATGTCCGAGATCTTATGAAGATAAATATGAGATGATGAAGGTCCATTACCAATCCGCTGTCGGAAGCTTGATGTATGCAATGGTTTGCACTAGACCTGACTTGGCATATGCTGTTGGAATGGTAAGCCGGTATCTGTCAATCCCCGGCAAAGAGCACTGGGAAGCAGTGAAGTGGATCTTTGTAATGTCCCACATCGGTTGGAGAGGGGAACGAAGCATGCCTTATAAGGGTGTGGATACCTCTTCTAGTGTGAGGCCTTTTGTGGGGTGTCCCAAGAAACAAAACCGTGAGCCCGAGGGCAAAGCGGACAATATCATGCTACAGGGTTTGGGGCTGTTACATTTGGTATCAGAGCCTGGCCCTGGACCGGTGTGTACAGTGGGGACGCTGTATTCCCAGTGGGGGAGGATGTAATGTCCCACATCGGTTGGAGAGGGGAACGAAGCATGCCTTATAAGGGTGTGGATACCTCTTTTA